GTTGTTTTGCTTAGACATGAAGACCGGACATATGTCTCCTGACTGTACTTCGCTGGTCCGGAGATTAGCTGTATCAAGCTGTTTGTTACACCATTTCAGGAACTTTCAACTCCTCTGCTCAAAAACACCTAAATCTAATAGTCTTTGACGAACGATATTCTGGAATCGCCGAAACCAATTTCCAATACAGAGCCCCTTCGTTTTGCAGTTCTTAGCATTGCATCTCCAAATGGTTTCGTCTTTAACATATAGTTTCATGTTGTGGCCCCATTTTCGCATACTGTATTGTCCGGTAAAGGACATCTTTCTTGAAAAAATGATATGGTACCCACCTCATTACTTGGTAAATTAAAGGTTGTTGACGTCATATTCACAAAACAGTGGGTCTTTATTTTCAAATTCAGTGTGAGGTTAATCATTTACTCGTATATAAAAATACAGTCAAATGTTAAATAATGAGCAATTTTACTCTTAAAAATATTCCGCTTATATTTACTACAATCCTGTATTTTACAACATTCTAGTATTTTACTACAATGTGTTACCATCAGGGTGATTATTCCCCTCCCGGGTTACCTCGTAACCATAGTAACGACAGCTGCCAGAAATGGTCGAGTCCTTTAATTTTTTTCCCACTTTATTTTCGTTTAGTGTGCTTTGCTTTGTGAAAAGAGCTTGAATGAAAGTTGATTTCAACTAGATTCAAACAAGTGGAGGAATAAATGGTTGAATGTGTTTTTCTTTGCTTGCTTATAACATTAAATTTACTAAGGTATTAAAAAGAACGTAAAAAGTTATACTATGTATTATAGTTTGGTAAAATGTACTTCCAATTTTTTTTTTTTTTTTAATCGTATTAATTGCTTGAGTTTTATGTTAGTGTTGGTAGTTCAACAGTAGCTGTTCTATCGTAATACAATACAAACTGGCCAGTTTAGAATTAAATTTCCTATTAATTAAAATCCATTTTTTGATTTCAGTATGATACGAAACAAAATCAATTAAAAAATACTGAAAACTTCAAGATTTTACTTCAAGTTCTGTAGTCTTCAAGATTTTCAAGATTATTTCAAAACTTCAAGATTCAAGAAACAATCCTGCCAAATGGGCGTTTCTTCAACTTTTGTGTGTTACCTTTATTTATTAAATAACACGTTCTTCGCACTTAACCACATAAAATTCAATTCAGCAACACTATCCCAAAATATTTAAAAACAGCATTTCTTTAGATTTCCGCGCGTAGCACAGACTCACGCGTTGGAGATAAAAATGATTTTTTTTCGTACATTGTTGCCATTGCTCTCTTGTTGCATTTGTTAATCAAATATTCGTTAAAGTTTTACAAAATATAAAATAGTTAATGAAATAAATTCGAAATTCGGGCGTCCAGAAGCCGAGGATTACGTTTCAAAATTTTATGGCTCTAGGTGCTGTCATTTTTTCACAATGCGAGAAATATTCATACATCCGTGAAGATTCTTCATTATTTAATATCTTAAAATATAATACAGGGTGAAATTTTTTTGAATAATATTTAAATGATATTTGGTGGCAACAATCTGAAAAGTGAAACGGACATTTATAATGAAACAACGCAAAATGCCATTTCGAAACTAATAACCCTTCTTAGTTACCGCCCCTTTGGGCTAATATTTTGATTATTCTAACGATTTTTAGGCTCGAATTAAAGCAGACGTCTTTGCTATGCTTTTATTTGCAACCAGTAAGCCTTAAATTTTCTAACAAATCATATAACGAACTCATGAAGGCTACGGTCGGAATTGCATGGGAACAAGAAAGGAAAAACTGACAAGTAGAGAATAAATCCAACATTAAAGTTGTATACGCAATTTTGAGTCTTATATAAAATTTTGCTGACCCTAGTTACTAATCTTTGGGATAAGTAAAATAAAATTATGTGTCAAATCATTTTCTATATCCTGCTATCTAACCTTTGGGATAAGCAAGAATCAGGGCAAGTTCTGCTTCCATGGTTGTCTTAGCTCAAATCCCTGACTCTAGACCCAAACGTTTGGAATATCTAAAAACAGGTTATGTCATAAGCTTGTTCATATGCGCTTTATATTAAAATGGCTAACCAACGTACGTGTGTCCTGACCAAACTTCTCTCCTCGTTTTCAGTCCTCTACGATCTGCCTTGAATAATTGTTTGATTTGTTGATACTGATGTAAACTCGTCAAACACATGGATAGAACTAAATTTTTTTATGACTCAATGTTGATGTTAACTCGTCGAATACATGGAAAGAACTAAAATTCCTTGATTGTTCAATTATCTCTCTCAGACTGTTTTTGATTACTCCACATTTTCGAAAACATTATTTGTAAACGTAAACATTCAACAGCTTAGTGCGTCCAGACTTTCCGTTTTTCCTTCGCCATTTTTGCCCACCAGCGGCCGAGCGGTAAAGTGGCTGAACACTGGTAGTTCGGTCCGAGGATCGAATCCCGCGAACGGGCTGGCTGCATAGGCGTTTTCGTGGTTTTCCCCATGTGTAACGTGTATACGAGCCAGTTTCCCTTAAAAAGTCCTCCACGAAGGCATCCCTTCCCTTAGGCAGATAGTTAGTGTGCTTTGCCATAATTAAATACACCACACCACCTTCGCCATTTTTTTCTCTTCGCTTTTCTGAATCATATTAACCAAAATGATAACGTACTGCTAAACGCTGGAAATAATAACTATACTAACAATATATAACAACTAAATAGGCAACTCATGCCTTAAATCATAGTCATTTAATAATATCTTAAAACTAACGCATCAAAATATCAGTTCGCAGAAGACAAATTATAAAATTAAATCATTGTAATAAGTTTTATAATATTCTATTGATTGTATTATTAGAATCGTAAAACTCGCAATTTTAAGTATATAAAAATAACACCTTACCTGTTTTCCAAAGTATCTTAGTCTTACAATTTAGGGGAAACTTAGGTCCTTAACACTTGGGTGAAATTCTTTAAAACTTAGATTAACTAAATTTAAAACTTGGGTAAACATAGAACTTAAAATAAAAACTTAGTACTCCATTTGAAATTGTTTTACAAATCGTTGCCATCCCCAAAAATATTTTTTGTAGCTTTTATACATTTTCAAGAAGTAAATAGTTTTACATCTAAAGATATCCGGAATAAATCAGGAAATCTTTATTCGTTTTCATTCCAAATATAAATAGTATAGTTAATATAAAAAAAATTAGGACAACACTTAACACTTTGTAAAAGTAAACATTGATAAGCTGAGTAGAAAAATTTTAAGAATACCCAAATAACACTTTCGCATAAAATGATGTAATAAATAATTAAGTTTCTTCAAATTGCAAAGTATTAAAAAGTACAGCTGCTATTTCGAATTTATTTCCATGATCTTACAAAGTAGAAATTAATTTATTTAACGAATTCAAATAATAATTTTTATCCTGCTTATGATTGAAAACGAATGCAGAGAATTAATAAAAATGTTCAACTAATTTGTTATGGCTATTTTTCCTTTATAAAGCTCATTAATTCTGTCCTGAATAAACATAATTATGAAAAAGAATTATTTAGATTCGTTATCTGAATCCCATCGACAATCAAAACTCACGCGCAATTTCTCGAAACTCCGCCCCGATTTCTGCTCTGTCATTTGATCTCCGAGATTTAGCGAATCAGACTGAGACAGAGGATGAGTGACGTGACGGAAATCCTATCAAACGTCGCTCGCCTGTAAAATGGAAAAGTTGCGGGAAGGGGGATGACGTAATATTAAGCAGGGAGCGAAATTCAGAGTCGGATTTTATCTGATGCAGTTGAGATACTTCAGAGAAGAGAAAGAAAGTCGGCATTTCGGTTGAGAGCGAACTTATGGAAAGCGACACCACTGAGACTCTATCCAATAAAGGTAATAATTACAACAGAAATTATCATAGTTTTCACGAGAAATGTATTTACTGTCAAGAAGGATTTCGGGAAACTAGTATTTTGTGAGCAAGTCAAATATAAATTATAAAGCAAGGGTTCTTAACCATGAAGGAATTCTCCCCATGGAATTTCATAGTTTCAGGAAGAAGTTGTCAGCCTTTTGTTTATCTGATAAATATTAAATTTTAGTTTAGGAATATAAAAATGTTCTTTTTTTCAAGTTTTGGTATTTATCAATATTTTCTATAATTTCTGTTGTTTAGTTTATAAAACATGTTGAAAAATGATATGTTGTGCTATTGTTCGAGTTTTGGAAAGGAAGGGGGGATGATCTAGCAATGGTGAAACGGATACATGGGCCGGAAAAAGTTGAGGATTCCTGTTAAAAAGAGTAAAATAAGCATGGAATTTCGGGAAATATTTCTTTGATTACATTATTTAAATTATTGATTATTTGATTACATTATTTAAATTATTCATTATTTGATTACATTATTTATTTTTATTACTATTTTTTTAAAGTAATTTAAACTTCCGAAAAGCACATTAAAAATAACGCACGTTGAGTAGTTTCCTATCAACGTAAAGAAAGCCTCAGACATATCAAAACTATACGTATTTAACTTAAAATATTAATCACATCAGTGTTCGTTTGCTTATGGCAAAGCAGAAGAGGGAACGATGCCTCTAAGGAGGTCTTTCTGAGGTAAACTGGTTCCAATTTAATTTACATGTGAGATAAACCACGAAAATATGCATGCTATGGGCCCGTTCCCCTGGATTTGAATCCGAATCAAACTACCAATATTCAATGAATTTAATCATTTCTCCCCCAGCGGGCCTAAACGGAAACAGTAAAAGAATTATTTTTTCTTAATTAAATGAAAGTTTAGAACTCTTTAAGAGTTTTTGATAAGTTTTAAATAGAGTTTGGCAAAAATATTTTGTGTTGTTGTTGTCGTATCTAAAATGCTAGTCATTTATGATGAAATTAGAAATATAAAATGTATTCTAAGAAAAAAAAAATTCATGATGTTTTTTTCTTAAAGTAAGAATCTAGATCATGGTCTAAAATGATCGACTTGGTGCTGGAGGTTGTGCAACCTTCTTTAAGTCCTGGCTCAAATCTCAGAGAAGGCATGCATGTTTGTAAGCGGATTTTGTCTGTAAGTGTTTGTAATATATTTTGCGGCTCACAAAAAGAGCTCTCGAGTTGTTTCGTAGTAAGGGAAGAAAGCTGGGAAACCCTCAGAACTGTCCGTCGGGATGATCTCCATCAAAACTGGGACGGAGTTGAACAATATCATACGATCGTCTGTCTCGACACCCATACCAAAAATGACCATATTGCGCTTCTTGCCACGATTAAATTCATGGACTTGTTCTAATTAGGTCAGACATGTAAAACAAGCCACAACAGCATTTAGATCATGGAGATTTACGCTTGGCAACGATGTATAGCTATGCAAAGCAATATGACTAATTTTAGTAAAGTTGACTCTAGCATAATATATTTTTGTATGAACATAAGGTTTACGATAGTCACATTTTTCAAAGTGAGTCTCTCACACAAACGTCTAGTCCTACAGCGATCGAATTAATCAGACAGATTACCGAAGTTCAAAGGTTATGTCGAAATCAACCGCGCTGTTTCTGAATTCGATAGCCAACGAGAGCACGGTCTTTATTAAATAAATCTAAGAACATAATTTTTAAAATAAATATTTTTAAAAAAAAAATCTGAAATTTTTCAGATTTTAAATTACGTCCAGAGGGGCGTTTTTTTAACGTTTTGAGTGTTACCTTTATTTATTAAATATCATGTTCTTTGCACTTAAACCATAAAATTCAGTTCAAGAGCAATATCGCAAAATAATGTTAAATTAAGCATATCTTTAGAATTTCCGATACAGAGACTCACGCGCTGGAGATAAAAATGTTTTTTCTGCACAACGTTGCCATTTCTCGCTTTTAAAGCATTGAGTTTGTAAATCAAAAATTCGTTAAAGTTTTACAAAATATAAAATCTATAATAAAACAAATTCCAAATTTGGGATTTCAGATGCCCATATTCGCAGTAGGATTTCGTCATTCAAAATTCGATGGCTCTATGTACCATTGTTTTATCACAATGCGAGAAATAGACAATCATTTATGCAGATTTTTCATTATTTAATTTCTTCAAATATAATGCAGGACTCTAACATTTTGTGGCAACAGTTTGAAAAGTGAACCGACGTTTATGAGTCCGACGCAAAATGCCAAAACGAAAGCAATAGTCCTTCGGGACTGAAATCCCTTTGGACTAATAAGAACATAATAAATAAAATTTAAAATAAAATTAATAAGTTCTTTTTTTTATTTTATAACGCATTTTCATACGTAGCGTATTTTCATTACATGCTTAATTTTTTTTTAGCATGTATTTGTCAAATTCTGATTCTAATGTAATAATGTAATTACTGGTGTAAATAAATTATTATTAATATTACATTTATTTTCCCGTTAATATTATTATTCCTGTTACGTTTGCTCTTATATTAGAATTTATTATTTGCTCTTATATTAGAATTTATTATTTGCTCTTATATTAGCATTTATTATTTGACGTATATTAAAACTAAAAAAAAAATAATAATAATAAATTCAGTGTCCCAACAGTACTAGTGGGCCACGGACTGCAGGGCCCTTTTTCTGCTTTCTTCACCTTTGGGCCAAGGAGTGCATCAGCATATGCCCTGGGCAAGTGGTTAGCTTGTCGCAGGACCCCTCGGTGTCCCCAAGCGAACGTGATACTTATTTTATCGATCCACTTAAAGGGTGAAAGGCTGAGTCAACCTTGCCTAGCTCGGGGATCGAACCCCGGATCTGTGGTGCAGCTGCGCAACACGATAGCCACTTCGCCACCGGACGGTCATTTGACGTATATTAGAGTTTATCAAAATTCTTCTTATAATTAAATAAATAGCTTTAAATTAAGTATTTGACAAAGAAATTCCTACTCATGTTCTGGCCTTAGACTGGTACACTCCATGTCAGGATTCCATGCAACAAATCGTCACGCCCACGGCTACAGTCGCGTCGATATCCTCACGGATAGCCACATTAGGACGGCCCACACACATCTTTGAACGTCGCTTACATTGAATTTGTTTCAGTTGAAATAAATGACAATATAAAAGGACTAAACTTTTGCATAGACATGCATATTTCCAATATTAATTGCCTTGCGATGCCTCCAACAGAAGAAAATCAATGTCAATCTGTCTGACAATTAGATTATCCATATCGGAAATAAGCCACATGTAATGTCTATTTATCTAATGCTTCTGGAAAGATGTAGATTACTCCCGTGATCCAAGATGTCCTCCGCATGATAACTGAAAATTTTTCTTTTTATTAGCAAAGCTAATGAAAAGAAATTTCGCATTTTACTTTCTGTTTCTGAATATTGTTTTATCCTTTTATGATTTTGGTGGTTATTTTTCGAATAAAATATTTCACTACGCAAAAAATTTCTGAATTTATTTCCTAGGTATATTCTCCTCATCCTATTCCATCGGTGAAGTTCTGCCTGGCTGTTATCCACCTAATTGCAAAGCCAAATCTCCTATTCCAGAGCGCTCCAGCAAAGGTTGCCTGCATTGTGTGGTATGCGGAGACACATCCAGTGGTAAACACTATGGCGTTCTGGCCTGCAATGGCTGTAGCGGCTTCTTCAAAAGGAGTGTGAGAAGGAAGCTTATCTATCGCTGCCAAGCTGCCAGCGGAGATTGTCTCGTCGACAAAGCCCACCGGAACCAGTGCCAAGCTTGTAGATTAAAGAAATGCCTAGAATGTGGGATGAATAAAGACGGTACGTTGAAATTTTTCATGAGTAAGTAGTAGAATTCAAATTTGAGACTTTACCTGAAATCTAATTACTAAGCAGCCTGACCTGCAAAAGTTCTGACGATATGTGAGATGTCCTTTGATTTTGGAATCTCTTGCTACAAGTAAAAGGATTTAAACGTTTTTGTATGTTACTTTTACAATTAATTACATAAGCATGACGTACATTTCTAGTACGTAATTTAAAAATTAAGGGAGTTTTCACTAAAAGAAGATAAGTTATAATTCGTTTAAAAATATTGTTGGGGAAACTCCACCCTTCTCCTTTCTTTTTATTTACAGAGAATACTAATATCCGTTTGATAATTCGTCATCTATTAATTCTATGTCCAAGCATTTTCTTGGTAATCAACTATAGATTAACATAATGAAAAAAAGCAATCCTCTTAGATTATCTGTTGATAATTGTCATTTAGAACATCCACCTGGTTAAAGGAGTAAAGGGACAGTTTAGCTTCGTCAGATATTTGCATGGTAGTTGTAAGGCGGTGAGTCCATTTTTAAAGTACAGGATACTGACTATATTTGCCAGGCGATAACGATTTCGAGGCACTCAGATTTGACCGCCTAATTACGTTTCGGTTCAGGCGCGATGCGACGCTCTCTTGGGTACCCGCGATGATTTCGCTATCCCAGTATAACATGATATTTAAGATTTTCGAACACATGTGAGTTCATAATTCTGTTGTGGTTCGGTGAAGTCCATAGAAAATATGGAGGAAGGAATAAAAACATGTTAAGGTAGAAAATTGAGTCCAACGTCATAGTCCATCAAGCGATGTTTTGTGAACACGAAAAATACTCAGCTCAAATCATCAATTGCTGCAGCAAGTCCAAATCAGGCAGAAGATACTGTGAGGCGTTGAGTAATGTGTGAATCAACAGATAAGCAGGTTTATAAAGATATGCCAGTAATTGTCTGTCATAATAACAGCAGTAAAGAAGAGAAAGCATTTATGGAAAGGAACATAAGAGGTATTACAAGGTAAGTGTGGAGCAAGTTGACAGTAGGAACATAGATTAACTTAATAAACAACACAAAAATTATGCAATGCAAAAATTAAGTGATGTGTCTTAACACAGCCATTGGCCTTTTTCTATTTACATTTGCAGAGTCATCATAATTGAGAACAGTAATAACACTGTTGTTGACACCCGGAATTTTCCGGAAGAATTTTTCTGCCAGTTTGGCAAGATATACATGTATTTTAGGAATGTTTAACTCGCGGTGGATTGCCGTGTTTCGTATGAACCATCGGCAGTTCACCATTTCTCTAAAATTACATTCTGTGCAGTTTGCAGTTTCTGCATGGTGTTATTACAAACATAGCCCCACACGGGGCAGGCGTAGGTGAGGATTGGTCGCATCATGGTTTGGTAAATGAGTAACTTGTTGTCAGTTGAAAGAACGCTGTTCCTAGCAATTAAGGGGGCGAGTGTAAGTTTACGTCCTCGGAACTTGGTTATAATACTTGTTACGTGTGTGAGCAAATAATCAAGTGTAATTCCTAGGTAGCTGACTTGCTTTACCCAGGGGATTGAGGTGCCGTACATTAAAACATTATGTTTCTGTGTTGTTTCTAATCAAAGACTGAATAGCCACTTTAATCCGGTCGTTCCTCTCACAAAAATAAATTGTACATCACTTTCTTAAACCCTGGTAATGATCAAAGCGCTTCTACTGGCTCGTCATGCAGTCTGTCAAGAAAGTCCAAAATATTTTTCTTCATTTCTTCCCACAACTAACTTTTCATTTAAGGACAAAGCAGACGAAACCGCTCAGATTAATGAAATGGAAATTTTTTCTCCTTTTATAAAATTCGACTTCAATTGTTAAAAACAGACAAAAGGCAACAAACAAAGTTTTTTCCTCCTTTTAAAAGTACTTAAGCAATAAAAAAAGTAGTGCAAACATTTCTATATTTTCTATTAACGTATAGCAAACTGAACAGCTCTGACCTTTAAAAATACTCAGTCCTTTGAAATGTGTCAAAAAACTATCCTTTGAATCACATATAATGAAGAACACATCTTCCAAAGTTATTCACAAATTCGCTTGTTGTTTGCGAAAATGCAAGGCATCTAGATATCACTAGAAAATAAATCTGTAAGTTTTTAACTATACACTGTTGTGCAAAAATTAAGGACGAAGTCGAAAAATTAGCATATCAGCTGAACGAAGAGGCAGAGCGGACAGAAAGACCAATCAGGAGATTAAGTAAGGTGATGTACGGTAGCACATGCGCAGATATGCAGGTAGACGTAATGGGGGAGTGTCTGAGTAGTATAAAACAAGTTGTCGGTGTAAGATCAGTATTTCTGGCAAAGAGATTGCACGCCGTATAAGCAGTTAAAATCACACCGAGTTGCTGCCTCAGCGAGAAATGGCGAATAATCAATCTGTTAGACTACATCTGGATGCTTTTACCCGAGGTCGAATCATTGGAAAGTTGGAGGAAGGCCGCAGTGTGATAAGTGTGGCTGCAGAGTTCGGAATTGCTCACAGCATCGTTTCACGACTTTGGAGACAATTTCAAACTACAGGAACAGCTATCCGGGGGTTTAGTAGTGGTCGTCCACGAGGAACAACACCCGCAGATGACCAGTATATTGCCTTACAGGCCAGAAGAAACAGTCGGCAGACAGCGGGAGAAATCGCTAGACACACGACACAGGCGACTGGACGACCGATATCGCGTTTTACCGTGGCCAGAAGACTGCACGGTGGTGGTCTGTTCGCACGACGCACTGTACGGTGTGTCCCTCTAACGCCTGCCCATCGGAGAAGGCGTTCTCTGTGGTGCCGGGAACACCGGAATTGGAGAGACAATGAATGGGGACGAGTACTCTTTACAGATGCGAGCAGATTCAGTCTGAGTAGCGATTCTCATCGCATACTCATCTGGAGAGAGCGGGGAAGCCGCAATCATCCCTCGAACATCATTGAAAGGGACAGGTATGGAGGTGGCGGTGTTCTCGTTTGGGGAGGCATCATGCTCGGTAGTCGTACAGACCTTCACATCTTCGACGCAGGTTCAGTCAACGGGACCCGTTATTGTAACGAGATTCTTCTTCCATATGCGCGTCTTTTTAGAGGCGCTATGGGTCCGCAGTTCCTTTTCATGGACGACAATGCACCATGTCATCGCACAGTAGCTGCCGAACAGCTCTTAGAGAGTGAGGATATTGAACGTATGGATTGGCCGGCACGATCTCCGGATCTCAATCCCATCGAGCATGTATGGGATTTTCTAGGCAGACGCTTGGCAAGCTCGTACCTTACCACCAGTAACGATTCCGGAGCTTCGATTGGCGCTGCAAGACGAATGGGCAGCAATGCCTCAACACCTCATTGACACCCTCATTCTCAGCATGGGCAGACGCTGTGAAACCTGCCTAGCAGTCAGGGGAGATCATATCCCCTATTAAAGACCGGATATTTCTTGCTGGACACCCATCACAGGGATGTTTCGGCCTTCAGTCGCATTGCGCTCCATGCTACTTTTTGAATAAAGCTTCTTTTTATTCCTCTGATTTCTCTTTTAGTAAGTGTTGCTTACATTACTCATGTCCTTACGTATTGGGGATCTTACGGTATTAAATGTGTTGATTTGGAAAGCTTTTGTACAAAGTTATATTGAAAAAACCGTCTCGTCCTTAATTTTTGCACACCAGTTTACATATATAATTGCTGCATCAGCTTGAGTACTTTGAAACTATATAACCCATATATATATAATAATAATTTTGAGATGTGATATTTTATTGGAGCTGAATGGCGCCGGTTGCTTAGTGATGAATTTCCTTCAAAAATAATCCTATATTACATTACTTAAGCAAACTATGTATAATGAAACCGAACCAAGAGATGCATTTAAGAAACTTTAATGAAGGTGTTGGTACCCTTGACCAAATAAATCTCTAATTTCAAAAATCAATCGTTACAGAAGTGGAGGCACCTCTATGTTCGCTAACTACTAATGCAAAGAGTATTTTTATTTGTTTTGCTATGAAATTCTATTTGAATAGCAATGCTCCAACATGAAGATTCCCTTATTTTTGTAACGGTTGCTTTTTACAAGTTAGAAAAATGATCTTTAAGAGGGTTCAAATTTCAAACCTTTATGTGAAGAACACTTATGAAGGTTTCAGTCTCTTCGAGAAGTGATCGACTTGTATAAAGTTGCTGGCATCTTTTTGATGGAGCACTGTTGTGAAGTTGTCGTCTCCAAACTGTACTCAACTTTGGGTATCCTGGAATATTTGATTGCAAATTTGCAGTTCCAATAACATTTTCAACAACAAATTTGCGAAAAGACTTATCCAAAACTACGCAAAATTATCCGGTTCGATCTTTTACAAACTGCAAGAATAGTCAGTATCTCATCTGCAACGGCACCTTGTCCCTGCTATTTCCTTTATCAGTCATAGCACAGTCTATTGTCACCCTTTTCATTTATGCTATGCATCACCATTCATTCAACATTGTTTATACTAGTATATAAGGATTTGTTTAGTTTTACTAACCAGTTATCTTATGCTAGTTACTTTTATTGTCTTTCTCGCTGTCCATTTTCCCACCAGAATGTTAATTTCTAGTTCCCGCGTATTCAAATGAGGCAGAAAAAGATAGTATTTAAAGGAAGGTTTAGATTATGGAATCAGAACGTGTTCCCCTTGCTAAAGGCCACATTTCTAGTTGAATCTCTTGACAGTAGCTATCTGCAGCGTTTCGTTATTCTCGTCATAAGACTTATCACACCGATATTAGGTCTAAACCATTTTGCGCGCATTCTGTCTGTGTTGCCTTTGGTCTAACTCACGATTTACTTAGTTAAATTCTTTACTTCTGACATAAATGCTGGCTGGTTCTGTAAGCACCTGCAGTGCCTTCAATTAATCTATTTATTTCAATAAAAGGCTCTTTTACACCCTTTTCAACTCTCTGTTGTAATTTCCCAGACTGTTGCAATATGATAATTCTCTTACGTTTTCCTGTTTCTCTTCTAGTTTATGTTACCAAAGGTGGTGAGATTCTATAAGTATTTTTCAGTACCATGTTTCTTTATGTCATTCAATACATCGTCTTTTGTATCTTACACTACATGTATTTTTTCTGTACCTGTTGCCAAGCCTGAATTCGTGTTTATATTATTATTATTGCATATTGGTAGTATACTTAATATTAATGTATGCTATTTAGTCAAGGAATGATGGAGCTGTTGGAAATTCTGAAAATTTTCTGAGACGCCGGGTCCATAAATCAATCTTGTCATCTGACATGGTTTAAAAACGGAGGAAATCAGGATTCCACAATTCAAACAATTAAAAGCAGTAAACTAGTTGGAAGAAAAAAGACTTAATGAAATTTAAAAAAACTAAATTAAAAGAAAATAAATTTTAAAAAAAACTAATGGTAAACGTATTAAATTCATCATCTTAATTCAACATTTTCATCGCAGGTTCACAACTGATGGATCTAAGCCTTAACTCCATAACATAAAAAAAGAGGAATTATCGTGCCACGACGATTTTGTAAGGATGACGGCGCTACTGTATGTAACTCGGCAACTATTTGCTTAGATCTCATGAGCGTCCCGGCATCTTGATGAAGTTTGCATTCTTCATGATGTACACTGAATTTCGTAAAAGTTCCAGACATTCTTGGTTTCTTGGTGAACAATGGCCAACTTACAAAAATAGTGCTAAAACCTTTAATCAAATTGACCGTATAAGGTATTTCTCCCACTTTCCTAACGTCCTTCGTGGTGTAGTGGTTCTGCACGCTGGGCCGGTATCCAGAGGTCCATGGTTCGATTCCCGGTGAAGGCGTTTGCTATTTTTCATCTTTTCTGCCCCTAAAAGAATTCTAATGACTCTACAACCGCACCGGTCAGACGAGTCTCATCCGCCACTGTATTCACTTCATTCAACATGTAAATGTGTCGTGTTCAATTAGATTATTATTGCACTCATTATAAATCTAAGGATTACAGTAGAGCAGCGGTTATCAATCTTTTGACTAACGCATACCATCTGAACAAAAATTGAAAACCTTTCGTACCACCACTACAAAGTACTACTACCACCACCACTCTTGAATAAAGCTCAGATCGCATAAATTTACGAATGTTAGAGAAAACCTCAGGCAGGATGTTGCGGTTTTAAATTTTGAATTTAATAGTTAAAAATACTTTGTTTCTTTGAGTACCACCAATTTGTCTCTTGCGTACCACCGATTGAGAACCCCTGCTGTAAAGCAGTCTGCTTGATGCTGATATTAAGCTTTTTATTCAAGCAGAACTCTCTCCTTATTTTCCAGCAATTATTTCTGAGCCCTGTTGTTGTTGTTGACCTCTCTACAATGGTTTTACTTTGTCCCTTAGCTGTACTTCGAATAAGTACACAAAAATAATCATTGGGACTGTTCACGAGGCTTCATCGGCTGATAAGCACATATTTCATGTGAATTATCTGCCTCGTAATGTAACTGTCCAGTGATGTCCTCTAATAGGACCTCACCCAAACGCACTGCAGTGGTTAGTTTTCTTAAAGGAAACAAAAGAATTTAGAATGATGCTTACTAATGCAAATTCTCACCGTACATTTTATGATTGTACTCATTAGAACTATACTAACATACATATTATTCGTCCTTTGATGAGGAAAAATTGCTTTGCAGCAGTACAAAATGAGCGTCAACCAAGGAACACAGCAACTGTTCGACTTGAATGCTCATTTAATGCTTCTTCCAGAGCCAACCCTAGAGCCAGTGTTTTAAGCAGCGATTCTGGATCAAAAGATGTCACGGTGGGAGTGTTTTCGCCCTTCTTCCCAGCTGTACATAAATCAGAAGCTTCCAATTTTAAAATAGATATCTCTAAATGCCAAACTCTAACGGAAAATGAAGACCCTGTGCAAACAGGTACGTAACATTTTTACATGTACTTTTTATTTTCCTTCAAAAAAAAAAAAAAAAGAATAAGACTAAATTCCATAGTCAAGAATACACTTAAAATTCTAACTGTATGTTCTTTTCATTTTTAATGGCGACGGTCTCTTATTTGAAAGTACGTGGAATTAAATCCACAGCCCCGTATTCAAGTTGTTTTTCCCGCCTTTTCTACACGTACAGTTATAGAATGTTCTGGAAATATTTAAAACGAACTGAATTGGCTGACGAGGCTGACGTCATTTCTTGGAAGCTCCGCCTTTCCAGCGACTATAAAAGGACTCGCAAAAGAATATCGGGGTCTTTTCTTTAATGTAACGATGCAGTAAATTTCATACAAAAAGTTATTAGTAATTCTTTTTTATTTACTCCGGGGATCAGATTTTTGTAATTGCTATTTCTCCTGAATAATAATAAATGGATCCTGTTTTTTAAACTTATCGTCTGATAATTTAAGCTACGACTACATTTATGATTCTTCACCAATCTATTTATTCCGGACAAAAGCTGGTACATCACACATATATATTATATATATATATATATATTTAAGCTTTGTAATGAAGGGGTGAATGATCTTCTAGCAATGGTGAAAACGATGCATGAGACAAAAAAAGTTAAGAACCACTGGTCTAGACAAGTCAGTTAAAAGCAGTTTGAATTAAGAACCTCCACGTTTTTTTTTTTTCTTTCTTTCTGTCTTCAAGAAGCCATTTAAAAGATTCAGAAAAATATTGCAGTCCATCAGTGGCTGAGGTCCCTCAGATTCTGTTATTGGCGATTGAATAGACTGGATGCACGAGGCATTTTACTGACGTTTCCCTTGCATAAAACGTATATAAGGGCCAATTTCCTTCACAAACATAAATGCACTGTCCTTTAGATAAATATAACAAATCAAGATTACTCGCTGCTGGTATCCCATCATGAAAGTCCATCCTCATGCCCATTGTGGTCTTACCTCACGGAACAGGAAAGTACTGCTTTAGCAGTGGAACTCCCAGTGTTTAAATTGCGGGTACTTCTCAATTTTTAAGATAAATTACAATTTTAGCCGGAGCGCACCGGAGCCCTAAATCATATGAGCTCCGGTACTTCTTTTTATAAAACTGAACCACAATTTAAAGGAAAAAAAAATAGAAATCTTAACGTTTTAGTTTAACAATAAGCAGACCTTGCAATACTCTATTTCCCTAGAAATACGAACTCATGAGAACGTGAGACGTTCAAGTAGTCCCCTCACTCACATGCGGAAACCTTTCCCTTTAAGAAGGGCAATAAAATTGGGGCAGTTTGTTTAGGAACGCGTAAATTTCTCGCCATGCCATCGTATCTAGTGTATTGTTATCGATGCTTGCTGTTAGTTATCCTCGCAGGAAGGAAAATTTGTGTTCTTAAATGTGCGTTAAGTGACAACGAGTACAATAAGATTGAAATACTGAGATAAACTGCTCAAGCACGTCCTATACATCGTCTTCCCACAATATCCACTAAGGTGGGAAGCGTAACCAGCAACTTTACTTTCACTCTTATGAGTCAGATTCAGGACTCATTTTACCCCTGACACACATCTGCTTGATGGCTATAATTATATCACCAGAGAGCCGCGGTCAAAAAAAGTTCTCTCTCACCAAGATTCCCCTCATTTTTTATTTCCACCCACTCATACCCTCATTACTGTTTCGCCCTGGAATTTTTCATCAAGCTATACTTTCAAAATATATTTAATTTTTGTGATGATAAAAGAACTCCCCACCCCCCTTTACGATCAGAGCTTAAATTGGGACGGAGCCCAACTGGATTCTCGGCTCCTGGTGCTTCTTAGTTTTTGTAATCAATCATAATTCTAGCCGGCTTAAACGCACCGAGCCCTGAATAAGGCTGCGGCACTTCTTTTATGTAATGAATAACAATTTCAGTAGAAATTTTATCTCGAAAATTTTATTTTAACCATAAAAATATATTAAAAATTGGTTATAAAATTTCACTTTATCTCTTTACATTTTATTTAATTACTTCAATCTTTAATTATTTCAATAAATAATAATTATCTAATAATTATAAATTAAATTGTAATTAATTAATTAATTATCTAATGATTATCAATTAAATTAATTAATTATATAATAATTATCTAGTGTATTGTTATCGATGCATAAATTACAGTTAATTATATAATAATTATTGATTAAATAACAATTATAAACATTAATTAAATACCTATTAATTTTTAATTTTATAATAATTAACCATTTAATTTTAAAATTATTAATGAGTTTAATAATCATTTTATTTATTTCTTTACTCTTGTTCCTCTTTGCTGACGGTCTTCCATAGGGCTCCGGCACTTCTAATCTTAGAAATTAAGCCCTGGGAACTCCTATCTTAACCACTCCAGTGCCAAGGTATCAAGGTAGATAGATATGAGTATCTGATTACAAACTAGCCATTCAGCTAATTATCTGAACTGCATAAGACCATTTAGATACTTTAATGAAGATAATCCATCGGAGTCCGTTGATGGTTCGATGTAACCATTGATACTCATTTCGATGTTTCCAACGCAAATTAAAAGGTGATTTGTAAAGCGATTAACATTAGTTTTGATTTAAAAACACGGGAAGAGTAATCTGAACGCAAGTAAACATTTGGAGTGCCTAAAAATATCGGTAAACATTAAAAACATACGTATTCCAATGAATCTTAATATATGAAGGAGCAATTAGTATTTAAATATATAAAACCACATTTTTTAGAGGAATTTTGTTTTGCTAAATTTTTCTGATTGTAATTATAACCACAAGACAACTCTTCCTTCATTTAAAAAAAATATCCCATCATAAAAGTTGAGCATGGCAGAAATCATTATTATGTATAGTTTGAAGATGAGCTATCAGGAACAGAACTTCTTTAGGAGTATTTGATAGACATCACCCGATAGTATCTTTCAAAATTTCTAAGTATAACCTGACTATAGATAGAACCAAAGCAAACGCTATAGGGTCTAGATGGTTTTTCGGTGCTACTTTGGTAGACGGTTGCACGGATTTTGGCGATTTTCTTTTGGCGAGTAATACAACTTATGGTAAACCCATTGCTGGATTGTTATTTATGGTAACCGATACTTTGTTGTCAATTTATTTAAAAAATAATGTGTTTTATTGTGCATAAATTCCGTGTTTTAAATATTATTTATGGCTTCTAAATATTAAAAATCAATTTAATTTTGCATTTTTATTTGAAATAAAAATTTTATTGTTTATCGTATTTTATGAAATTTTATGTTGGATGATGATAATGACGTCACCTTACTTTAAAAGTAATTGGTTTTAATATGTATAAATTTAATCTAATGTTTTAAACATTATTTATGGCTGTTAAATATTAAAATACAATTTAATTTTGCTTTTTTTTTTAAAATGATTTTATTATGTATGAATTTTTAAATAATTTTAATTCTAGCCGTGATGTAATAAGCTCTCTGGTTGGTTATAGAATATTTGTGCATTAACGAGCTGTAATCAGCTCCCTGATTGGTTACTGACAATTTGTGCATTTCTGCGCGGTTTTAAAATTTAATTCATATCTTCGAATTCCTTCAAAGATGTCTTCAAAAATGTTATCTAAATTATGATTCCAATTTTTTTTGTGGTACTTATTTATCAATAAACAGCATGTTAAATGACTAAAAAAAATGTAAGTACATATTTTTCTTTTATTTTATAATTGTATACTTCAATTTTTGTTAAAAAAATTAATACACTATTTTCAAAAATTACTGAGAATATTGTCCATATGTTTTAATGTTAATTATATTCTACATAACGTATTTTAAAGTATTTGAATTTAATGATATTCTAATTCTTTTAAATGTTGGTAGGATGGTTTTTAATTCAATATTCAATTTCAGTAATATTTTAATCTAATTAAACGTTAGCACAATGTTTTTATAGCGGTGTTTTTATTCTCTTTTTTGCTATATGAAAGTAATAATAGCCTTACTTTAGTATTTTATATACTCATAGTAAATGTATTTATTTACACTTGCCTGCCATCTTATAAAACGACATTTTCAACAAAAAATTAATCCATTACTTTTAACGATATTATTTTTTTTTAAGTTTCGAATACTTTACTATGCGTAAAAACAGCGTTTTTCAAGATGGCTGACGATTGTAAAAATCGCGCCAATAATTGCGCCAACGTAAATCGCCAAAAATCCGTGCAACCGTCTACCAAAGTAGCACCGGTTTTTCATGCTAAAAGCAAAATCATCTTTAAAAGGTGAAATTAATTTACATATACCCGAAAGACAATAAAGATAATAAACAAAAAAAGCCTTAATTCTCTCCTGACTAGATAACAATTTCCTTCATTTTCTTTTGCATCATGTACGAAAATAACTGTGATTACTATTGTTCTAAGTATTTTTACAGAACAGTTCCTGTAAACATAATATATTTATTTTTCTATTGTAATCAATCAATACTCAGTCCTATTCTATACAGGGTAATCTAATTTTTACAACGCTAATGCGGGTTTAGCGTATTTTGAACACTTTAAATATATAAATAAATAAGTAATTTGTTTATAACATTCCATGTAATTTGATCAATACTTAATTTCATCATAGTTGAAATAAAGAACAATTCAAACAAATGACATTTTTTAAAATATTTTCAGATACTGCGAATAAAAATGAAACGCTATACGTAGATGTTGGACATCTGCAAAATACAGCTGGTGTTTTACTTCTCGAAGAACGATCCGAATTTCTGTTCGACCCATCGAAGGAACCCTTATGCGAAACTGCAGCCCGAATACTTCTTCTTAATGTAAGATGGGCGAGGAATCTTCCATCTTATGCTTGCTTGTGCTTCATGGACCAGGTAAATCAATGGAAGAATTTCTCAGTAAGATTTTACTATCTTATGTTTAAGATTTAATTCCTCAGTTTTGATATTACTTTGTCTGTATATGTGTCATTAAAGTGCTTTCCTCATTTTCTTGTTTCCCATCTACAATTAATTCCTCGCCAGAATGAGTTTTCAGGATCACGTTTTATGTAAATGAGGTAGAACCAGTATTGAAGGGGAAGTCTCGATCACTTTCATAGATTATTTAGGAGTTACCATTGACCAAAAACTCACCTTCTAAGACCATATCCGTTCTGTACTAAACCATGCCAATTCTGCTTGTATGGCTGTTTATTGTTTAATCCGGAAGAAAGTCAAAGCTAAATATTCGTGTAAAAAAACACTCTACTTAGTCCTCATTCGCCCTATTTTATTATACTCAGTTCCGAATTGGGCCATTGCAAATAGAACGAAAAGAGTAAAAATAAATGTTTTGCAAAACAAAATTCTAAGATCAATAGTAAACGCGCCGTGATTTGTGGGTAACTTCATTATCCATGAAGAATTAAAAATAAATCCTATCCATGACCAGATGTTAATTACTGCTCATAACCTTTTCAGAAAAGCAAAGAACTCGCCTTATTCTGCAATTAAAGAACTCACCGAATATGATCCTTCAATAGGATATGTTGTAAAACGCCCAGGATCTATTCATCACAATGCACACTGGTGGTAACGGTTAACAGAAATATATTTTACAAATGCTTACTTAACTGAAACTTGCATGCATAGCTGCTTGCTTGACTGTATCACTACTGATTCTTTCGCCTTCGGGTGTGGTGCGTAACTCTTTAATTTCTATAACTACCGTGAAAGGCCTTAAGGCGCATTTTGATTTACTGGCAAAAACTCAAGGTGATGATCCATGATCCATTTCCGTAGAAGAGCCTAGAAATTCTTAGTGCAGAGTGTTCTGCCTTCTAGCCACGCCATTGCTTTAAGTGAAATCCTACTACGTTGGGCCGTATTGTTACGTGCCTGCTAGTATTGGCCCGATGAGCTTTAAAATAAGGACCAACTCTATTAGTTATTCCTGTGCAGCTTCATCTAGGTTTTAGTTAGATTAGTTTCTTATTTTCTATTTTGAGCCCCTTCCTGTAAACCCGAGAGAGGGCAGCTGTAAATATTTGAGTCAAATCAAAGCGTAATTTAATCCTTCTTTGGACTTCTTGGAGCTTTAAGAAGAGAGTAGTCGTTGCACACTTCTCAAATCCCCAAGGACAACCAATTTAGATAGAATGTTATAGTCACATAAACGCACGCAAAATGCTATGAATCTTTCCAGTGTTAAAGGTCTTAAAAGAGGAAATGAAGTAATAAAAATATTTGTAGTTAAGGAATTCATATATGATTTTATCATCTTCTAAGTGGTATAAGTTGCTTTTCAAAAAAGTTAAAAAATGCAGGTTTATTTCTTCACTGCTAACCTGTTGCTATTAAATTCATAAATTTTCGCTGAAATATGCACCGTCTATAGAAGTCCTTACGTGGTCTTCATTTCCTTAGCATCAGATAAGCAAGACAAGTGATCGCTTTCATGCTACTGAGATAACAACAGTAGATAACAATGGCAAAAATTTTCATTGAAATTTCATTTCATTCATTCAGTTCATTTCAATCCATTTCAGAGTTTTTCGCTTTAATAAATTACGGGCGGATAGCTTTAGTGGGAATTACTGAAAAGAATCACCATCTTCTGCAAGAAAGGTATTACTAGTCTCCTTGAAGTAGTTTAGCTATTCCCTGTAACAGATGGTATTGTCGCCAATGGAATGAATGCATTCACAATGCGTCTGCAAAATTCTAGAATTAATTTTTAATTCCCTCTGAAATTTGCCAAACGATAATTGACAGCATTTATTACTATAAAAGCTCATTTTGCATTTCCTAAATAGCGCCTGCTTGTGAATCAACGCTTCTGTACTTGAACGATTAAGCATCACAAATATACGTTCTAATCATGGGTTTTTCTACCTCGAGCTCTCCTCTGAAAGCCTATACAGTATAGATTTAACAAGTTGCTGATATTATTCCATAAAGATATCTATCGACAAATTCTGCAGCACCGGCCATTATCCGATGATCTACTTCCTTGCAATCAAACATTAGCTGGCATTATAATTCCATGATGAAATTCCCTCCGGTACAAAACATAAACAGGTGCTAAGGATCTACAAAAATGCCCCCGTAGGCTATACTCGTCAGCTGTGATTTAAACCCGACAAGAAGACTCATTGTAGATCACACGATCACGATTTATAACGTCTGGTCATGTGGCAGGCACTCACAGCATCAAAAATGCTTTGAAAAGAGTGAGGCGTCCGTGCTTTAACTAAGTCTGTTTGCGGCTTAAATTCATCGGTCATAGCAAATCAAATGGAAAGTTGATTACCAGATCATGGTCCTTAACTTCCTCACTCTACGATCCAAATTTTTCTGTTTCCAAAAGTTCCTGAGCCCACATTAGTAGATGAACTTCGTGATGAAGTGCAATCAATCAGAAAAGAGAGCGTTTTCTCCGTTCAAATCTGATAGGAGACAGATGACAAAAAGCAGTCCTTCAGAAAGTTATTACTTATGGGTCTCACGGAAATTTGCAATGATATAACATGCGATGTAACCTGGGGGCTATTATTATCTTCTTGACGCCCGATAAAAACTCTATGCATGTGTTATCCGACCTGTTTGCTGGCTCACAAATAACTATGTAAAACGAGCAGTACTCTGAAATTAACATTGGGATATGCAGGCAAGCCATTTGCCATTGACATAGTTGCGTGTAAAATATATCGGTTCTAACTTGGTTGTTATTCCCATGACTTTCAGCTTTTCGGTATGGTAAAACGTGCCTAAACACACGTAGAAATTATTATAGAATTAATGCATTATTATTTAGAAATGAATCGATTAAACTTCTGAAATTATTTACAGATAACACTACTTGAAGAGACATGGTCCGAACTTTTCCTCTTGAGTGCTATCCAGTGGGGCATGCCTTTGGAATCAAATCCACTTTTTGACACTTCAAGCATAAGCTTTCTTGCAAAAAGTTATCCCGATCTGAAAAAGTATTTGCACATTCTGGAGAAGACTTTTACTCGCTTCAAAGTGCTTGTGACTGATCTGGCTGAATTTGCTTGTCTCAAAGCCATCATCCTCTTCAAGCCTGGTTTGTAAGACTTCCTTTTCTTTTTCTCTTTTAGTTACTATATTATTCTACATCATTTTGAAGGCATCTGTTCAATAGAAAAGAAACTCGATCATACTTTGGTACAGGAACTCGAATGATCTGATGACGATTATTCAGATCAGTTCGATAATATATCTGATGAACGCATTAATAAAATAGAAGGCAAACATTTCGCATTAAAAATTACAAACGTAAACATTTTTGAAAATTTATACGACATAGTTATCATTTTCGAGTTTTTTTAAACGTTACATAATTTAATAATATATAAATTATTACAAAGTATTAAGTGTAGCGATTCACATAATAAATTTAATGTTATGTAAACAAAGAAAAATATATATCCATACTTATCTTGTGGCATATCGTTTTCATGTAACTGATACATATACTATCTATATAATTAATATATCTTAAAAATGAAAATAACTTCCGGAGGGAAGCTACGTTTCGTTTGGTTACGACAAAACACACAAGAGCTGTATGCTGAAGAAAGAGATACCCTTGCGGGACCTTTGTATTCAAGCGATCTTATCCACTCTGCCACTGGTAAGCAAATGTGTTATTGTAATTACATTTTTAATGTAAATAGTTTGTCTCGGATTTTAAGATTTTAAAATGTTTAGTACTAGCAAACTTAAAGCATCAAAAGGCACATTTTGTAGAAACTTTCAGGTAATTTCGAAGCAACAGAGATGAAAAATGAGCAATGCCCTCGCCGGGACTCGAACCATGGGCCTCTTGAATCCGGGCTGAGCGTGCTAACCACTACACTACGAAGGCATGCTAAGAAGGCGGAAAAATACCTTATAATTTGATCTCTTTAAACCTTTTTAAAAATGCTCTTCAGACTTTTTTTTCATTGTGATGTTTTTTTCGTGACCTCATAAGGTACTTCTCCTGCCTTCCTAGCGTGCCTTCGTGGTGTAGTGGTTCTGTACACTGGGCCGGTATTCCAGAGGTCCGTGGTTCGATTCCCGGCGAACGCGTTGCTAATTTTTCATCTCTCCGGCCTCAAAATAATCTAATGTCTCTACAAGTGGCGCCCGAACTAAAAAGGGTTGTGGATGATGATTCTCCGCACCCAGGATTTGGCGACTAGGTCCCCTAAAACCCTAGTCGCCCTTTAAAAAAGGGGAGTATATAAGGTATTTCTCCCACTTCCCTAGCGTGCCTTTGTGGTGTAACGGCACGCTGGGGCGGTATTCCAGAGGTCCGTGGTTCGATTCCCGGCGAAGGCGTTTGCTATTTTTCATCTTGTCTGCTTTCAAAAAAATACTTAATGTCTCTACAACCTTTTTACCATAAGAATTTCGATAGGTGCAACTTCAGCTTGCAGAAGTGTGGCTTTGATGGCATTCAGAATATCCATATGAAAAACTATTAAATTTTCCTTCACTCCACAAAATTTAAGTAAAATAAAGGTATTTAAGAAAAGCTTCCTTTTATTATGAAAGAAGTTTTAAGTCGAAATATTATTCTCTATTATTGAAAAGAAGTTTTTCTTAAGCATTTATTACTAATTATGTAGATAAAATTTCATTAGTTAACATTCATGATTAAATTGATAAAGTACTTGCATATTAGTCGATACTCGCCAACACGTCATCAATAATACTGTCCATAACTGTTTTCTCGCAAGCTTTGCGGTAATCCTAGAAGTTGTTTTGGACTTTTCTATAAAGATGCGATGATTGGGATGGGGGGCTAATGGAAAGGGGAAGATGTCTCTTTTTATTTCAGCGTCAACTTCAGCTTCGGAATATAGAAAAAGCACATATCTGTATCGTAATTTCTTCTATTTTCTTGGAAGAAGGGGGTTACCTTTTATCTGAGCATCGTTTGTTCTTTACGTGTTAATTTTTACTGCATTTTGCATCAAATGCTTACTGGATTCGGCGAGAAATGGAGCAAAAGCAGTCTCTTATTTCCAGGAATCTGGTATTTTGCCCCCCCCCCAAAAAAATGTGCATTTTAATTCTCATGCAGTGAAACTCTATATGACGGAATATGCTCGATAAAAATGTAATGTCAACTAACTGCCAATAAACTTGTAGAATAAGAACCTGGAATGAACTCCAAGAATAGCTCAGTTGGTATGGAAGCACAAGGGAGCTGCAGAGAGAAACAACCCGTTTAGTGCGACTGCTAAGTAACATCCGCAGGATATAAAAAACCTGTTTAATCAGTCTGCTTATGTGGGAAATAGGTTTTATTCACTAAAAGGCGGTAGTAGATAGTTAGCAGTGTGTCGGGGTTGCTTTGTGGGATCCTTGGCATATAAGCAGGTACCACACAAAATATTTTTACTAATCCTCAAAGTTAAAGATACAATCCAATTCCCAAAGAAACAAGGCTTAGTGAGAACTGAAAATTTCAAAAATAAAGATGTTTCTAAAGAGGAGGTTATAATTTGTTTTGTAACACATGCATGTAATATGCAGAAACATTTATATGCGGGGAGTTAAAAAAAATGATTTATTCTCTCAGACGAATTAAAATAATACAAATATATATTTTTTCGCATACTTGAGGAGAAAGCGTTCGGCCATTTAAAAAAAAAAAAATGTATTTTTTAACTGTATGTGTGTTTCACATAAATATTTGTATACTTGAAGGAAAACTCACACGCATTCCCCGTATTCCCGCAAATAAATTAAAGTAATGCAAAACTACGTTTTCATTGTTAGAGCGAGAAAAAGAAAAACCGTGGTCTTAATTTCTTATTTATTTATTTATTATTGCGGTACATATATTTTAATGAAAAATCTATACTTATTAAACAAAAAGTATTTTCACTAAGATATATGGAGATTGTTTAAAATATCGTAAACACCTAAAAATATGAAATATTATGTACTCCCATTCTGTTACTTTAGAATAGGAATTTCAAGGTCAAGAAGTTTTCTTCTTTTGCCTCGCTTTGTAACCATGGTAACAACTACAGCGGGAAATGGTCGAGTTCTCTAATTTGCTGAAATTTCCACTATGACTCGCTGATGAGTGTAATCAATATACAATAATAATACTATAACGTTTTTCTTTCGTCTGACACCAGTTGTTACGTTATATTCTTCCTTCCCGTTCGTACGGGGTTCGTAAATTTGGAGTGAATAACGACGACACTACTTAATGAAGTATCGAAACACACTTTATTTAGCTAATATTAACAAGGACAGCTCCAACGACACTTTTTACATTTGTCAAAGATCTACTATAAACACGCTGGAAGAATCAGCGACACAGCCTTCACACTGTCAGGCATTAACGGTGGAGACAGCTCCCGACTGTGCTTGGTCGTTCTCGGAACTCCACGTAATCTCGATACTCGCGATGCACGCGACGACACACGAGCACAGCTCCCGACTCTTCGGTTCAGTCGTTCCCGGAGGCATATTTCACAAGTGCACATCAGCGTAGCCACTGAGGGAGGGGTTTCGAAAATGGATGAATGAGCTGCTATTGCTCTTGTGACTTTGCAAATCTATGCATTGTGAGAGCATGTGGTTTGCTTTTTAATTTTGTATTTGTTTCGCAGTTATAAATGTATGGTGTATAAATGCTTCTATCATTTTAGTAGAAATCTCGTAGTGCTTTTATTTTGTGAGTGTTCATTTAATCGCTCAACTTTTCACTTTCGCGAGATTTTTACCACGCACTAATATTCGGATTGATGTTCACAGCATATTATGTGGATTAAGAGAGTTCAAGTGTATATTTTTTTAAAATGAGATGAGAATGACTGAAAGTGTTACAACGAATCTACGTGTTTTCTTATTTCAGTGCTTGCATTCTTTTGATATTTAAAGTTGTAAGATTCAGAACACATACGATCTGATTAATCCATTGTTAAGCAATTAAAAGTTATATGTGAATAAATTGAATATACTCGTTGTGAATACGATAAATTCACTCTGTTTGATGAGCATTTCTTGTGTAGACGTAGTAGACAGTACATTTAAGAGTGAACATTTATTAAATATGAAATTTAACGCACTAAATGTATACGAATGCAAATGAGTAAAGTTCACTTTGAATAAAAATTCTGCATTGGTTATTATTATAGAACATCATTTTCATATAGACTGCAATAAAAAAGTGCTGACTTCCATTTACATTTATAATTGTTGTAAATATTTTTCTGATACGCTTAGTCTTATGTAAAGATTGCATTTGGGCTCAGATATTAATCACATGGAAAATTGCGTAGCAGAATATTTTCGACCATCTTGCTTAAATATTAAAGCACGCGAAAGGTCATGTGACATGACAGAAATATTACTGGATTCTCATTGGTCCATCCTAGAAGCCACTCCCTCGGTGGCTACACAGATGTGCACTTGTGAAATATGCTTCCCGGAGCTCAACACGCTCTCTCGACGTTGCACTAACCGCGATACACTAACAGACTCCTTCGGTGCACCCGACGACCCACTCGGCACTCGCTGCCCGGCTGTCAACTCGATCGACTCCACACGGACTGACTCTCTAGACGAGACACACTCACTAACTGACTTCGGACCAGCAGGGTTTATATAGCTTTCGGCTTGTGTTCGAGAACATTCTGGGCTAAACCGGTAAGAATTCGTTCCAGAAAAGGTTCTCCAACCGTCCATGGTATATCGCCAAATGGGCGATTTCCCGCCAAATGTGGCAACCCTGCTTTTCCTTGCTATTTTATGGCAAACCTAAAACTGCTTTGCGGGGAAGCAATCTCACAGCGCCTGTACATTTCGTAACAATACAGTGTAATCAGTGTGAAAACAATTAACTTTTTTTAGCATAGCGTTTCCATTGTTTCTAATGACTACTGTATATATTGCTGCTACTTATCAAAAATAAAATAAATAACATAATTTTATCTTTTACGTACTTATGTTGTATAATTACTATGGTATTACTATGGTATGTTGTATATTACTATGATATACCAGTGCAGCACCATTCGATATTATCGGTATAACGCGTGACTCTTATGT